CTTTTTAAAGACAGTGGTTGTTTGTACTCTGATTACTATAATGCATGTATTGTGATACTACAAATAAAGTCCTCCACACCCCCAGGACGTTTCCGCCGTCTGGTTTGGGGGTGTGACAACCACACATTGTCTAACCAAATCAAATTCTCTCTCGATACATTCCTCAAAAGATCCGATTCGGGTGGATTCTTCCCCCAACTAACGAAGATATCTTGGCGGAATTGCCACATATGAAATTAAGCACAATTTTGCAAAGAAATAGCCGACTTGTTTCTCGAGAAGAGATGAGAAACAAGCTCAATATCATTTGATTTGATAGTTGACCCAACCCCTTGTTGTTTGAAAACACCCTCCACTTCAATTGGTATTTTTTTTCACGAAAAGCAGACATGAGATAACAAATCCAGTGTTTCACTAAGATTTCGAATAGTGGTCCCGAATTCTAGTTGATTCTATTTTGCCTCTTCCTCAGAGAAAGACGATCAAACAATTCCCAATCATGGTCCTTGCGGAGCGGATCATCCCTATAATATACAAAGAAAAACTCCAGATATTTGAGATCTTCCTCTTTGAATAAGATCTCAATTCCAGCGACGGTTTCATTAGATATCTTACAACTAGAATCCCTCTTTATTTCGATCCAGTCCCTCCACCACCGCGAACCCCAGTTAGATTCAGGCATGCTACACTTTTTAGTGATTGGGAGAACCCCAAGTACTCTCTTTCGGATTCAGGAAAGAACTCTCGTAGATCTTTTTTCCTTTTGGAAGATACAGGAGCGAAACAATCAACCTATTGATATTGGAAGACCCAACGGATTCTTCCAATGTATCATTTCTGGGTCCAATGGAATTCATAGGTATAGGAAGAAGCCCTATCAAATAGAGATTTTTTCTTTCGATCATATTTTGATTGTTAATACGATATATAAGGACCGCTACTCCAAAGAGTATTACACCCTTGATCGTGAAATATCGATTGCTTGTTGAACCCTGTAAATTGTGTGAAAGTAGGATACTCCAAATTCAGGAGTAAAAAAGTTTTATAAAACGTTCTTGGTGGGAAAAAAATGTGAATGAAAGATCCTACTGAATTGAATTGGGTCCAGGAATCTAAGAAATAGTGAGAAATCTTGATCTCTCTCAATTCTAACATACAGGACTTTAATTCATGTCATGTCATTAAATTCCTCCTGATTTATTAGAACTAAAAGAATTTCATTTAAGCATCTCATTGCTTTAGTTGAAAGATTCCATTTGAATTGGAATCTGGTCAGTCACTATGACCCGCTAAGCATCCATGGTTGAATGGTTAAAGCACCAAACTCATAATTAGCGAATTCGTAGGTTCAATTCCTACTAGATGCACGCCAATGGGACCCTCCAATAAGTCTATTAGAATTAGCTCTGTATCAATGAAATCTCACCATCCATACATAACAAATTGATGTGGTATATTCATATTATACGATATGAACAATAAGAATTAGTAGTCTTATTGAGACTAGAACTCATAAGGAATCAAATCGATTTATGGATGGAATCAGGTATGCAGTATTTAGAGACAAAAGTATTCAGTTATTGGGGACAAATCAATATACTTCTAATGTCGAATCAGAATCAACTAGGACGGAAATAAAGCATGGGTCGAACTCTTCTTTGGTGTCAAGGTAATCGCGATTAATAGTCATCAACTTCGGGGAAAGGCTGGAAGAATAGGACCCATTATGGGGCACACAATGCATTACAGACGTATGATCATTACGCTTCAACCGGGTTATTCTATTCCACCTCTTAGAAAGAAAAGAACTTAAATCTAAATACTAAATAGCATGACGATACATTTATACAAAACTTCTACCCCGAGCACACGCAATGGAGCCATAGACAGTAAAGTGAAATCCAATCCACAAAATAATTTGATTTATGGACAACATCATTCTGGTAAAGGTTGTAATGCCATATTACCGTAGGGCATAAAGGGGAGGTCATAAGCGTCTACACCGTAAAATAGATTTTTGACAGAATGAAAAAGACATATATGGTAGAATCGTAACCATAGAATACGACCCGAATCGAAATGCATACATTTATCTCATACACTATAGGGATGATGATAAGAGATATATTTTACATCTCAGGGAAGCTATAATTGGAGATACCATTGTTTCTGGTACAGAAGTTCCTATAAAAATGGGCAATGCCCTACCTTTGAGTGTGGTTTGAACTAATGATTTACGTAATTGGAAGTAACCAGTTAGGTTTATGACGAAACCTAGAAATCGATCACTAATCCAATTTGAGAACCTCTACAGGATAGACCTTAACAGAAAACTGAAGAGTAACGGCAGCAGTGATTGAGTTCAGTAGTTCCTCATATAAAATTATTGACTCTAGAGATATAGTAATATGGAGAAGACAAAATTGTTTCAAGCACCGACAGAACCGGAAGTACCCCTTCTTTCAAAGAGAAGAGGACGGATTATTCACATTTCATTTGATGATCAGAGGTGAATTGAAAGCTAAGCAGTGGTAATTCTAAAGATTCTCGAGGGGGGGGGGGGGGGGATAGAGATGTCTCCTACGCTACCCATAATATGTCGAAGTATCAACATAATTTCATAGAGTCATCCGGTCTGAATGCTACATGAAGAACATAAGCCAGATGATGGAACAGAAAGACATAGGATGTAAAAGATCATAACATGAGTGATTCGATAGATTTTGATTCCTATATATCCACCCATGTGGTACTTCATTATACCATATATATATATATATATATATATATATATATATATATATATATATATATATATATATATATATAAGATCCATCTGTATAGATATCACCATTTACATCCAGAAATATGTATGCTTTGGAAAAAGCTTGTACAGTGTAACGCCTAGTTCCTGGTATGTATTTAACTTATAAATTATCCATTTTTATAGAGCAACTCGACGAGTTGGAGGCCCCAAACTCGTCAAGTAAAGACTTCATGGACCACGCGTTTTTGGTGACCAACTCGACGAGTTGGGAGGTCCCAACTCGACGAGTTGGCTGGGTGAAATGAAACCCTAATTCTGGGGTTTTGCACCCTATTTAAACACCTTAACCCCCATAAGCTGACCTCATCTCCAGCCTCCATTGTCCTAAACCCTAGCATCGAAACCCTAATGCATTTTTGAGAGTTTTGGAGCTAATCTTGTGCATTCTTGGTGATTTTGAAGAAAAAGGAGCTTGAAGAAGGAGCAAGAACGTGTAGGAGGATTGTAGATCCAGGAGTTGGGCTTTGTTTCTGATTCATTTGAGGTATAAAGCTTCCACCTTGTCCATGACATGTTTAGATCTAGTCTTAGGATGTTTTACTTCATGTTTTGGTCCAAGTATATTGGTTGTTGGGATTTGGACATCCCATTTAGGCAAACCCTTCAGATCTAGGGTCTTAAGGGGACTTCATGGCATAAAGGTGTCAACTTTATCACCATGGAAGTCCCATGCAACCTTTAGACCATCATTGTGGTCTTTTAAGCCCCATTAGGTCATGCATGCGAGTAAAGATGGGAAATTTTACATGACCATCCAGTTTCTAAGGTCTAGATCTAGGGTCTTTAGACCTATCTAGAAGTTTTGATGGGTTTTACATTTAGATCTAAGCCATTTTGGACTAGGGTTTGAGTTTTATGCCTTGAGAGAGGTCCTCAATGGGTAAAGTTGGAAACTTTACCCTTCTAGACGTGTTTCTAGCTTAGATCCAAAAGATAGGGCCATAGTTGGAGAAATATAGAGACTTAATGCATTAAGTAGGTTGACAGATTGATGAACTCGTCGAGTTCATAAGAGAACTCGACGAGTTGCTCTGGAAATGTCCCGATTCTGTTGGAAAAAGAGGGACTCGACGAGTTGTAGAGGAAACTCGACGAGTTGGATCGCGATATCACGATTCTGTGATTTATGGAAACTCGACAAGTTGAAGGATAACTCGGCGAGTTGAGTCAACTCGGAATGTTGACTTTGACTTTGACCTAAGTGTTGACTTTGCATTTGACCAGGGTGTTGACTTTGACTTGGACCTTAACCAAGTTGACCCTTAAGGGGTTATGAATATGGAAAGGTACTTAAGGAAATCTTTTATGTTTAGGGGATTGAGCTGGATTGATATTCGGAGCCGGGGACCGTTTAGCTACTTTCCAATATTCGAGGTGAGTTACCTTCCCTGTATGAGTGGGTCGAAGGCACCAATGTCGGCCCACTAGTAGTTGTTTATAGTAGAGATGATTGTCTTTGTGATAATTGTCTGGTATGCCACTATCTGTAGAGATTTATGTGCTTGTATGATATGTCATTATGTGGTAGTGGTAGAAGGGGTGAAGTAGGCCCGTAACCGGTTGAAATAAACCAAATGGTAGGTCGGGCACCCAGATATGCCTGACAGTATGTTATGATATGATATTATGTGGTAGTGGTAGGGGTGAAATAGACCCCGTAACCGGTTGAAATAAACCGTATGGTAGGTCGGGCACCCAGGTATGCCTGACAGGGGTAGGTCGAGCACCTCGGTATGTCTGACATGGGTAGGTTGAGCACCCAGGTATGCCCAACAGGGTAGGTCGGGCACCCAGATATGCCTGACAGTATGTTTATTGTATGGTATGTGGTATGAAGGGAGAACTCACTAAGCTTCATGGTTACGGTTTACAGTTTTGGTTTCAGGTACTTCTTCTTCGAAAGGAAAGGAGTCGGCATGATCGCAGCGCATCACACTATGATTTTCCGCATATGAGATCTTTGGGAGTTGTACTCTGATATTATTTTACTATGACATGTTTTGGCACTTGTGTTTGATTATGATACGAGATGATATTGTCGATGTTTTCAGACTACTATTTTTATACATTACCTAATTTAAAATGAAATTTTTAGCTATGAATTTTGGGTCGTTACATACAGTTTAGGAAGGGGTTTTTATTGATAAAAAAGAAGAATCTACTTCATCCGATATGCCCTTAGGCACGACCATACATAACATAGAAATTACACTTGGAAAGGGTGGACAATTAGCTAGAGCAGCGAGTGCTGTAGCGAAACTGAATGCAAAAGAAGGGAAATCAGTCACATTAAAATTACGTTTTGGGGAGGTCCGTTTGATATCCAAAAATTGTTCAACAACAGTCGGACAAGTAGGGAATGTTGGTGTGAACCAGAAAAGTTTGGGTAGAGCCGGATCTAAGCGTTGGCTAGGTAAGCACCCTGTAGTAAGAAGAGTAGTTATGAGCCATGTAGACCATCCACATGGGGGTGGTGAAGGGAGGGCCCCAATTGGTAGAAAACAACCCACAACCCTTGGGGTAATCCTGCACTTGGAAAAAGAAGTAGAAAAAGGAATAAATATAGTGATAATTTGATTCTTCGCCGCTGTAGTAAATAGGAGAGAAAATAGAATTTCTTTCTTCGTCTTTACAAAACAAAAAAATAGGAGGAAGTTGTGACAGGTTCAAAATAGATTTCAAATAAATGGATTGTTAGTTATATTAATTAGTGTTTGTAATTAAAATTATAAATGTTTTTATGTTGCATACTAATATGAGAGACTAATTGATGAATCATTGTTTACAACTAGTTACTTCAAGGATGAATCACTGTTTTCAACTAGTTGTTTCAAAATGTTGAGAACCACATATCAAAAAATAATGTGACCATAAAACCTAATCTTTTTCGATTGCCAAAAAACTGATAGGTAACTATTCATGTACTTAGTTTTTGCATTAAACTATTAATAAGGCTACCCGGAGTGGATAACCCAAGACGTGTGAGAGGCTGACGTGGATCCCCCCAAGACGCGTGAACACCGCCCCAAGGGTTGGTGTTGTGGCTTTAGCATGAGTGAAAAGACGGAGGAAGACGGATGATTTGATTGGGTATCTCGATTTTGACCGTTGGGGGTGGGGGTGGGGGGGACCTTTCGACCCTTTAAAAGTTATTAAAAAAAATCATTCAATTATTAATTAACTTTCTCTCTCTCTCTCTCTCTCTCTCTCTATATATATATATATAGATATATACATTCATTTTACATTTCAAACTAAAACACACACTCTTTCAAAACAAACACACATATTCAACAAAAAACACTCTCTTCTCATATATTTTTATGGATCCAAATCAAAATACCCCACCCACTCCAAACACCCCAAACACTCCAAATGATCCATTAGCAAATCTTAGTTACATGCAACTGATAACATATCCAATATTCCAACAACAACCATTATTCATCAATCTTTCATATCACCCACACCACTACCAACAACAACAACCATCACAATTCAATCAACCCCAATTTCAAGTCATTCAACAACAACCTTCTCCGCAATTTCAACCTCAAACTTCTCAACGTCAACAATTCCACGCACAACCTTCACAACCATCTCAAGTTCCATTATATCAATCTCAACCTATAAACCTCGACAATGACGACGGCGACGAACGGGTTGAAGAAACACAGCCAAGTCGTAGAAGGCAAAAAAAAATATCAAAAGATCCAAGGAAAAAGAAAAGTATGCAATTGACCGAAGAGGAAGAGGAAACTTTAGCTAAAGCTTGGATTTTCATATCACAAGACGGGGATGTCGGCAACGCGCAAACGGGTCAAAGTTTTTGGAATCATGTTTTATACCACTTCCACACATTATTAGGAAGGCAGACGAACCGTACACACGACTGCGTCAATGCATAATGGCATGACCTTCGAGCGGCTTGCACCAAATTTAACAGCGTATTTGACAATCTTAAAAATATGCATAGAAGTGGTAGCAACAATTTCAACATTTTATCAACCGCGTTGTACCAATACAAAATTACCAATAATGGTAAATCATTCGCCAACCAAAAAGTCTGGGAAATTTGTCGTAATGGTCCAAAATGGATCCTTTATCCGGATACGGTGCATTCGGGATGTACCACCGGCTCCAACAAAGGGGCAAGAACTTCCGAGTCGGACATTGGTGTTAGCCTCGACCTCAATGATTAGTTCGACGCCACCGAAGGGGAGGGTCCACCGGACGTCCAAGTTCGTCGACCACCGGAAAGGGACAAAGGGAGAAATGGAGTGTCTTCAAGCGGAAAATCAACCAACGAGGACGTACTAGCGGACAAAATAGGCAAAACTCTAAGTTTTTTAGAAAAAAAAAATTAAATCAACGGAGGAAGCTCGTCGATGAAAAATGACGCTCACCGATCTTCAAATTTTAAACAGTGTGCCGCAACCGAATCACGACCCGGAAAATTTAAGGGCGTTTTTAAAAATTCAACAAGAAGTTCTCGACAAATATCGCAACTAGATTCTATGTTTTTTATGTTTTTTTAGTAATTTAGGTTTAATTTTCTATGTTTTTTTTAGTAATTTATGTTTAATTTTCTATGTTTTTTACGTTTTTTTAGTAATTTAGCTTTAATTTTCTATTTTTTTAGGATTAATTTTCTATGTTTTTTAATTAATGTAACGTAGTTTCAATTAATGTAAAATATTTTATTATGTTTTAAATTATGTTTTTATTTAAAAAATAAAAAATAAAAGAAAATTATGGAGTGGTAATCATTTCCAATGTCTAGTGGGTTAGTGGTGGAGCTGATGTGGCGTTGAGTTGACAGCGTTTTTCTGGTGGTTTGGCTGTGACCACTCCCCACAGCCTAACATAAGATGTGTTTACTGTTTTGAATTGCCCCTTTTGAAATATATATTTTTTGATTTTTTCCGAAACATTTGAAGTTTTAGCTTCGACCCCCCCTAGTTTTAACGGTTGTGTTCCGGCCCAGCAAGTTGCTATGGTAAAAAAAAAAAAAAAAAAAGGTACTAGAATTCAATCGTTATCTTGCCGAAATCAATAGTGTGCTTATAAAACCACTTGTGACATGTTGGGTTTTAATGTGTTAAATTCAGATTTATTCATGTGTATCAGTGTAGTGTACGGAATGGATGTGTCTATTTAAGTTACTTCTGTTATACAAATATAGTCCACTGGAATCCTTCCACTCTACCCAAAACAATAATTTAGGTGCCGTGCGGGGTTTGGAAAGGCATGAATTATGCCGAGTATTCGTCTTAATTCATAGAAAGTAGTTGATATTAATAAAACACGTAAAGTAGAAACAAAGGGAAATTGGGTAATCTAACCAAATGTCTAAGATAATTTGAAAAGGCTAACCAACTTTTTTTGTTTAAATAACCATGTACTCCGGAATTGACCATTCGTCCCAGCCCATTCCCTATCGGGTTCCGGACTTAACGGCCGGTACATAAGCCATTTCGGAATGTATGCCGAAACATCTTTATTTTTCGGACAACTTAGGTAAAAAGAGGAAATGACATTCGATTCAAATGAGTTCGAGGTTTTACGGGTAAGTTCTTCACTCATTTACTTGTATTAGTTAAAATTTTAATTTTAACCGTAAAATTCGAAACACATAGAACTTGTCCAGAATGAGAAAAATAGCTGCGGAATGTGTTAATAATTGATTGCCTTAGGTAAGCAAGTTATTTAGTCTTAGTACAGACCCAAAAGATTGGAATAATAGTTAGGTTAACAATAACATTTGTTTTAGGTCATTCTGAAATAAATTTATTCGAGAACACTTTAGAACAAGTCGGGAATGTTTAGAACAGTGTGTTTCATAACGAGTTCGGAATTATCTTCAATGTCGTATTGAAACTAATTTCTTTTTGTGTTTTTCAGCATGACAGCATTTTTTATTCCTATCTTACAATGTCTTGCAAACTTGTCATTGTTGCGGATATTCTTGCTAAAATCAAGAACCGACCGTCATGCAAGGCTATCTTCGGACAGACATGTTTTGGTAAGTGGTTAGATATTCATGTCATGGTAGAAGGTGATGCTTTGCTTTTACATTACATATTCTACAAAAGAAGTTGTCACAAAGCCTCGAAGTGATGTACAGGAATTTGTTTTTGAGATCAAAGAATATGAGTTGACCTTTGGAAAGAGGGAATTATTAATACTATTGACGAAGGTGAGTGGAAAAACCATAGTCCAAATCCTAGCCCTTAAAACTCCTACAACTTTACTTTCAATCTGAGCCACATAAACTCTAATTTAGCGGTTGTTTGCATTTCATTCGATCGGTTCCTGCTTCTTCTACCCACGATTCCGTCTCTACCCACGACTGTGTCCGTGCCGGTAACTGCCGCATCAGTTCGTCCTCATCCGGCTATAAATTGATGGTTCGCTGTTAGATGTTTACAGCTTTCAATTAGTAAAAACAGTTGTTTCAGTTGATCCTATGGCTTCCAATTCGTCTCACATATGTTTACCTAAGGTAAAATATTCAATTCTTCAATCGATTCCTATCATTTGTACTTCATTGCATTTGTTTGTTTCAATTGGTAAAAAGAATTGCTTCATTTGATTTTATGGTTTGAAATTCGTCTATTGTTTCTTCACATAAGGTAAAATTATTGTCTCTCTAATCGATTCCTTTGATTTGTAATTCATTGTATATTCAACTTCGATGTATAATTGAAGTTAAAGTTCATTTATGTTTCACTTCCGCACATCAGGCTGAAGCACCGCCTCATGTTCGTGCAATTCCAGGCCCTGCTAGCATTGTTCAGGCTGCGAAGCTCCGTAAAACTCGAGATATGGAAAATATATCAGGCCAGGAGGAGCATTCAATAGCCACACAAGAGTATATAAGAAGAGTGGTTGAAAATCCAAAGGAGGATGACGATTTTCAGGGTAGCCCATGGCTTTTTGCCATCGAATTTGTCTATGCTGATGGTAGAGTAACAATCAATTGCGTTCATTCTTCTATTATTAAACTTGTCAAAATCTGGACATTTGATACTTATTTATGCGTGTTTATTCTTTTGACCGAAGATATGTTCATTGTTGTCCCGAATGCACCTTTGGGCGATATAAACAAGTATCTGAAAAACGGAAAAAACTTCATCAGGTGAGTGTATTCCTTAATTTACGTTAAAACAATTAGGGTTTCGACAACAAATTATGTGAAACTGACAGGATGTCTAATAAACTAGGTTAACTTTTCATGAGCTATAATTTCTTGATTAGTGAAGAAAATCATTACCAATTTTTAGGCACTTGACAGATTGATCGATCTTCTTCTGTAACCTGTTGCAATTTTAGATACCCCTCTTTGATTTTGATCTTTATGTTTTACTCGATTCACACTTGAAGACTTGAATAACATGTAGTGACTATGGTTTGATTGTAAGCTCAAAATGTCGTCCACTCATTCATCTGTTATTTGGTATATAACAGGTTGTTGTTGTTATCAAGTCTTGTACTTCAAATGAGCTAGGTGATCTCATAGTAACACTTAAAGTAAGGATCTTAATATGCCATATTATGATTATGTAAGTATGTTA